CATTGTGTTTAATCTTTGCAATTTGAAACAACTTTTGTTAATGAAAATGATAGTTCTGTGATCTATATGCATACAACAACGTCTTGAAAACTGATCTCGCTCATGTTTAAAATACAGACATCAACTCAGGTGGCTACATTCACAGGGGAGACTTATCAGGTGTTAATAACCGATTTTAAATAAACTTTCGGAATACAAATTTCACAAAAATATCGGTTCATACCTATTCGCCCAAAATTTCATTCTTTATGTTGCTAATTGAATCTAGAGAATACTCTCAGTTGTTTGATCTATATACAGTGGGTCAAAAAAGTATGCGCACACCATTTAAAACGGAATAACTTTTTTTATAATTACGCGAAGCGATCTGAATCTTTTACGATGTTAGAGGAATTAATTTACAATCAAAAATTAATAGACAATGATTAAACAATTGTTTTCGAACAATTCAACAAAACAACATGTGTTTTGAGTCCATAACGAAAATTTAAAAAATGCGTTCTGAAGATCTCGGTAACTTATATGCATACCGAAGAAATCATCGAAATTGGTTAACGTTATTATGAGCTACAGACAATTAAAGCATTAGTCACAGTCGATGAACAAATTAATTCTGATCAAATTGCGATTCTGATCAAACAAATATTTAAATCTAATTTATATTTTGTTATTTCCTATTATAAGTTTATTATTACATTATTCATATTGTTTTTACTATCTATATATTACACATTAAATATAAGTGTATATAAAGAAATAAATTACATCATTTCTCTGACTTTCCAATATTCTCGCATTCGTTCTTTCCAATGATATTAATACAGTAAAAACAAACTTTACTATTTTCTGATTGACCCTCGACAATAACAATTTTATCATAAATATTAGAACACTGTCGACCAGTAGTTTCAACATTCACTCTCTATCTAATTGAACTATTTATTCGTTATTACCTGAAAAGTTTTTTTTTGATTACGGAATTAATTTGATATTGAATCCGTGATCGGTGATCTTAAAAACCGCACAATGTAAAGCGTTTTAAATAACATTTTCAATATATTTCCAATGTTTTTAATGCTTGATCAGCGTTTCAACGATTCAAGCCGCTATGCGACGACTTGTCACGTGCGCATGTGTTCGATAACAAGTGCTCCACCTTACGGTTGGAACGCTTTTCATGCAATTTCTCAAAGTTCGAAAGGAATCTCATCGAATCGTTGGAATGCAATAAATTTGACAGTTGTACACGCGTAACGATTGTTATTCCCCGTGATAAAGTTACCTCCAATGTCAACGTTGTAGCCCGCATCCTGACCGGTAAATTTTTCGGACGACATTACAGCGTATTCGGCGGCACTGGTTTCTGGTTTTGTAGGTAAACAGCTGACTGCTGACGAAAAGAGCCACTGTCACTGGCGAAAATTCAAGGAAACACGCGGTACGTTCGACAACAGAAGTTTGTCGGTGTGTGCGTAGTAGATTAGCTCTGTAAAACTTGAGACACTGCTGCAGACCGAGGTACATATACCGAGGTTATCAGCTACAGTATAATCTGTCCCAAACTGGTGAAAGATGGCGCGCAGTATCGTCAGTCGAATACGTATGTACCTAGTTTGAAAATTGTGAAATAGCATTGCTCGTACGAAATAGAATTTAACGCTATTTATCACGTGCGAGGCTTTCATGTAATTGTAATTGATCAGCTATATTTATATTAATTCGTCTAATGTAGTTTACGGTTAGCGAATCAATTTTTACAAAATTTTCGGAACTGGAGAAATGTTTCTACGCCACTAGGATGTTTAGTACAATGGCGTGTAAATATACAATAGCAAAATACTAGTAATATTTTGTCGCGTAATTAAAATGTGTCATATTCGTATTTGCCTGCCACCTATGTATTAGGGTAAGCGTGAGTACATTACTGCGGATTCTGAGTGAAGGCCAAATTCGAATGGTTGTTAAACCACGGTTTCCATGAAAATATAGTACATTTTCTTTTTATGTGAAAGCTCAATTTATGTAGAAGTAATAACAAAATGTCAACTCAGAATTGAAACGAAATTAAGAAAATAAATATAATTAAACCGAATTGGAAAAAAGTTATTGTTATGTTATTTTCGACCCTAATGGATCATTTTTTAGAAATCAAAAATCTTGTTTAAATTGATCAGAATTTCTGCTATCACAATGATTTGGTTCAGAAATACAAGTTTTAATAGAGGCTTAGAATTAATAATTAAACTGCGACAGGTAAATGAAGCAGCAAACAGAGAGAAAGAAAGAGAGAGAGAGAGAGAGAGAGAGAGGGAGAGAGAGAAAGGTATTAAATTAATGGAAGAATATAATATTATTTTCTAAAAATAACGAATACAAAAGTTACGTTCTGTAGATTGCAAATGATTTATGGGTGAAGGTTTCCACGAACCTTGACCAAAAGCAACATTTGCGAAGGAACAGAAATAAAAAATAAGATATAATGAGAGTAATTTATCTTCCCTTTTACGAATATTTTAATTAACAGAAATTCCGACCGTTTCGAGAAAACAATCCTTTAGTGATGGAAATAAAATACATACATATATTTGATGTCTTTATTTGTCAAGAATGATGGAAAGAATTTAATTCTCAAAATTAAGACACAAAATTTTTAATTTTTTTCGAAAATCGACGAACGTAAAAGACATGCCCCATCCAAACCTACAAGTTTCGTCTAACAGATTTTACAATCAACAATTTTGAAGATATTCGAGAAAGATCGATTTTATGAACATGTAATCAATTATTTTAATGTTTAATTCTGATGAGTACCACAAGGAAAATTCAGAAATCGAAAATAAGAGTCACCCTATTATACATACAGAGAGTTGAGTAAAATTCGAATCTTTTTAAATGTCAGAACTAGTTTACTGAACAATGAAATAGGTGTCGATATTTTTAGAATGCTTACATTTAAAACCTACTTAAACTTTCATTATAAGCTCAGATAAAGAAGTTTGAAAACATAATTTTTTAATTTGTTTTATAAGCGAAAAATGGAGACTAGCCTCCGACATAATTTTCAATAATTATGTGTCTCATATAGAGTTGGGCATTATTCGAATTGTTTCGAATATAAATATTTACCTAAAATAATTACTCAAATGAATTCCTTTCAATCAAATATTTTAATCGAATAATAATTGTTCATCATTCGTA